TGTGGTGCGGAAAAAATTCCTGCTTTCTTCGTATTCTCATCCGATTTATCGTGCATTCTATATTCCTTTCGTTAGCGGCTCAAATATTGTATTCGGCCAGTATTACCTTCTTCAGAGAATCCGTGAGCAGGAGGATGCGCGTACTCGATCGTAATCTTCACGGTATCGTCAGACATTTGTCATTTTCACAAGAACATGTAACTTTCGTAGCTACTTTTTTTTGTCTGGAAGTATTCGTGCGACGAGTCAATAATTCTCTGAGAGAGGCCTAACTTGCAGAAAACATGTTCGGCTGTTTTTCAATGATGAATTTTTTTCTTAACTTATTGCTACGCACACTTACACCGTTCAGTAAATAAGTACATAATTTTCAGCAGTCGAATTTTCACTCTTATGTTCAAGAAGTACAGAAAATTAAAGCTATTTTTGAAAAAAAGAACTGGTCGACTTACCAAAATTTCCAGCAACATTTTTTTTCGGCAGTGCTTTTCAGCTGCAAAACAAGAACCCCAGCATCGCACGGGGGTTCTTGTTTTTCGGTCGTATTATATTTATTCGTTTTAGTGCCCTTCATAGATTATTGTTATGTGTCTAATTTGAGTTTTTTTTTTCTCATAAAAATATGTTAGTTTTTATTGTTTTTTAACTTACTGATATAACCAGATTAGTTGAACTGTTAGTGGCTTGTGGTTCTTTCGGAATGTTCGTTGAATCGCTGGGTAATTTCCAGAGAAACCAAAAGATATGTCAAAAAACTCAGCAAGTTGACCGCCAGGCGCTGCAGTGTTTTGTAAAAGTACTAGAATTGTCACCAGACCATGAAATGTTCGCTGTTATAGGTATTCTAGGTACTAATTATTAGTGGTGTTTTTTCTTTTTTTTTTTTTTTTGACGACAAGCTGAAAGCCATTGGGAACGTCAAAATTCCAGTGTGAGGAGGAAAACGTGGAAATTAGTTTCAGGGAATTAAAATTTGATTGAAAGTTTTGCGAGATTTCGTTGGGGAAGTGAAAAACAAGTTCAAAAACGAATTAAGATCACAGTACGAGAAAAGTAGAGGGCTTCTATAAGCAGAGTTTCCAAAAAAATGCAGAATTTCCATTCTAAAAAATACAGAATTGTACTTACTCCAAAAAATACAGAATTGTAAATCCAAAAAAAAAAGCCGAGAGGTAGTTGAAACAGGCATGATTGGGTGAAAAGATGGCGTCGAAATTGAAGTTCGCTTCAGCGTCTGCTGAAATTTAGATATTCCATTGAGTCTTTTTTCGATAGTTTGCTCAGCTGTCCTAGTGCTCCTTCAAAGAATGATGATACGAAGTGTCTGGATCCATTCCGTGGTGGTAGCTGTTTTTTCTTGCTTTAGCAAGGCCAGCTCTATTACGATTCGCAGCAATTGTAAAGAGTGACGTGTCCATTCGGCAAATGTTATTGTGCTTAGAATAGTACTGTGAATTGTTAGAGTTTGTTAAGCTTTTTTTTTATGTTTCTGTTTAATGTTTTATTCGGGATTGACCCCTCCACTGCGGCCGCTTCCTTTTTTTAGAAGATATCATCACAGAGGTACAGGTGAGAATAAAATTTACGTTAGATAAAGAAACAGAGAAAAAGGTGAGAATTAGAAGAGTAAGAACCGAGGAAGTGCTAATGCGGTAGATAACAAAAATATAGGCCACTTATGTTTCACACTTATGCCTTATGTAAAATAGAATTAAGAAAAGGCAGTAAAAGGAGAGGAGTTTTAGAAAATCATAGTATGAACTGAGAACGTGATAAAATTATTGTAAATTCTAAAAATAGACTGATATTTTTATACAGTTTTGCTGCGCAGCGCTCGAGCGCTATTACAGTGGGCAAAAACGCATATTGTCGAGAGGTCATCCGTGTGTGTCTGTGTGTGTGTGTGTATGTATGTATGTATTTGTATATTTGTTTGGAAGCGAGTGAACGTTGACACCCACTTTCAACTCAGCAACTAGGAAAGCTGGGAGGCTGAAATTTTGTGGGCATATTCCCACCCGGTGTGTCACCCTCACATCTTAAAATCTC